TGTCTACACTGTAGGGAACAATAGGCAGAGTGAGGAAAAAACTCAGCAACTGAACAGGTGCATGGTGGCTCTCATTTATATGGTTAGGTTGTGCAGAGTGGAATATCATCCAGCATATGTCTCTGGTTTTCTCTGTGCACCCCTGTAGGCTGTAGTACAAGTACTGCATACTGAGTCTTACTGTTGGGTTGGGTTTTTTTTTACTAGTCACAATCCAGTTAAAGAGGAGCCTGACCTGATCTTCTGGGATGAATCGGTTCCCAAAGCCACTACCATTTCCACAGGAAAAAGGTAGAGTTGGACAGAAACACCTTCCATGCTATTGAAGTGAAATAGATGCTGTCTGCTTTTATCTGTTGGGGGTTCACTTTAGCTCACTTGTGCCTGCAGTACAAGAGCCCTCAGAATAAAGGTGGTTGTAGCAAATCAGGCTTAGTCCAGGAGGCATGTGGTAAAAGGTGTTGGGACCAGAAAAATGGGACAGCCTGATGTGAAGATAGCGTGTTAAGTAGCAAAATGCCTCTTCTACCCTGGGAGTATATTCTGTTGTGGGTGGTCTCTAATAAAGTTGCCCACCATTGCCCCTACTTAGCATAAGATCAGTGATTTAGTTCTCATTTGTATAGCTCAAGTCATCTAGTAGGGTCTCTGATCCGGTTTGACTGTTGATCTGATTCATGTGTGCTATAGAAAGAGAGGGGAGGAAGATGCAAATTGAAGCCCCTGCACTAGTGCCACCATGAGACTGCTCCCTGAGGGAGAGTAGATAGTGTTTAAAACATTACACACCCTGGAATTTCCCACTCTTCCCCTCTCTCTCTGCCCTCCTCTGCCCTCCACTTCCAACTCTGAAGGCTCGACTCAATTGTGTAGCTTCCACCTTTAAGAGAAACCACTGCCAGCTCCAGCTTTCAGCAGCCTACTAAACCAGAGCAACCAGCTCTTTTCTCCAGGCCTGGCAGCTCCAACACTTGTGAAGGAGTAGACTCCTCCTCTCAGCACAGCAAAGGGGATTAACCCCTTTCTGGCTCAGCCAGAGATGCGGTGCAAGTACCCCATCCCACTTTCCTGCTGTGCCTAGAGGTTGTCTCCAGCACAGGAGGGAGGCAGGTTGGTGAAGCAGTGTGTGATGGAAGTTTGCTTCTGTGTTGTGGCTAACTTGATGGGCAATCCAGCCTCTTCCACCAGCCGCAAAGCCAGCAACTGTTAAAACAAACCAAATGCTCAGTGCTCAGAATAGCTGGTGAAAAAGTTGTCTGTCTCTTCTGCCTATGTTCCCCACAGCAGGTGTATCTAATTATAGAAAAAGGGTTTGGAGAGCGCAAAGACACTAAACCCTTTCAACTCACTGTCTCTCTTATTTCCATAGTGAAAAAGAGGAAAGGACCCTCAAACCCACAGTGTGTGACTCCATTTCTTCCGAGGAGAGGTAACATCCCCTTCATGCCTCTGATTTTGGAATATCATCTTCAGCTGACTTGTAGAATGTTGCATCTGGATCCTTAAATTGAACAGCAGCAGAAGGCTCTGACTCATGTAACAAGGGATATACAGTCTCCTTTTAATTAGCAAACAATGTATAGAATATCTTCCCTTGTGCAAATCAGCCTTCATAGTAATGACTCCAAACTCTGTGTCACCGCAGCCTTTGTGTCTAGTGAGCACTCTAGTGTTTTTATAAGTGATATTTGCTTAGGGAATTTCCAAAGGGCTGGGCAATTTTGAACTTGATTTGTGTGCTAATAACATTAAATAGCCTCTGGGGAAGATGGCTTCTTGGATTGCCACTCAGGAAAGCTGGGTCCTAGTCCCAGCTCTGCCACTGATTCCTTGAATGACACTGGGCAAGTCACTTATTTTACCTGTTGCTCAGTTCCTGTAAAAAGGGATAATGATCTTGCCATACAGGACTGTTATGAAGACAAATCCATTAATGTCTCAGGTGCTACAGTACCTAGAGCTATACAATACTGCCCAATGTAGAATATGGGTAAGAATTAGTTATTACTTGACTCCAGTGTGCCAGAAACCATTACTAAGAGAGGCTCAAGGGTGAAGGAAATGAAAACCTTGTACTTTATTGCCTCTCACAGCCATGAAACAAGAACACAGACTACAATGTTTGACCAAAAATCTGAAGTTCCCCTCAGTATCATCTCCCTGGAAACAGTCCACAAGGGGTAAGGGTCCACCTTGCTCACTCTGAGCATGTGTGAGTGGGGTAGAAGTAAGGACTGCAGACAATGTACCTGAAAATGGCCTTGCCTGAATCCCATATGCATGCATGCATTCTCTGTCACTCACCCCGATGGTCGTGGCTAGCCCTACTACTCTTGTATTTAATACACAAAGCAGGAAATGGGGAAGTTTGCATTTATTTTCTCCAAACAATTGAGAGTTTCCCAATAAGAAATATGATGAGGTTCATCCCCAAATAATGATGTCCTTTCACAGACACAAATATTCAGGAAATGGGTGATACTATGCTTTCTGAGGGTGATGTCTTTTTTTTTTTCTAGCTATCCTGATTCCCTAGAGATTGACCATAAATTTGACCCAATAAAGCAAGAGCAGAGTCTGTAAACATCATCACATGCTGCTGATTTTGTCTTGGTGTTGAGAGAGAGGGCTATTTTTCTGTCCCCGGAGCATTCTAACAAAGGACATACCAAGGGAACTGCACTCCTTCAGTGTATATGAGGGGGTGAGGGATGTACTGTCCATGAGAAGAGAAACACCCTATCATTAAAAGTGCATGGAGGTCCTTCTGCTTCTTTCCCATGTTGGCAAGGTTTCTCACAGGTTCCAGTCTGCCACTTAGACCAGTAAGCTGTCATGTTGTGTAGTATGCTGGTACATGGTAACTGACTGGAAGGTACATCTCATGGTCTGAAGTGAGCAGCAGGTGGGGGCAATAAGTTCTTTTTCCAAAAGGAAAGCTTCACATCATATGATTTTGTTACTTTAACTCCATTCATCAAACTACTCTTACAACATCTCTCTCCCCCTTGCAGGTCTAACTTGTATTTTAGAGACAATACATCTGATCCGGTGATTGAGACATGCCATCAGTACAGGGGCCCTGAATACATGGAGGACATGAATTCCAACCTCACAAGGTAAGAGCCAGAGATGGCATTCACAGCAGGCTCACTCGGGGTCTCAGTATAACTACCAGCTGCTGCTCTGCACTCTTAAAGGGACAGAGAGGAGCAGGCGGGCAAAGATACTGGCTCAATCTCTGGTCCCCTGCCAGGTCTCAGGGCAACCTTTCCCAGTGGTGCCATTCTGCATTCTGAAAGGGACAGATCAGCCATCCTCAGCACAACCCTCCCCCCCCATCCTTCTCCCCACTGCCACTCCACATTCTTAAAGGGACACAGCAGCCATCCTTGCTGGTCTCAGCACAAGCCCCTTCCCCCTTCCCCCCTCACATCCCCACTGCCACTCTGCATTCTTAAAGGGACAGAGCAGCTGGTCCCGTGGGTCTCAGCACAAACCCCCCTCCCTCTCCCCGCTGCCTTCTGCATTATTAGGGACAGGGGAAAACCTTTCTTCGGTTCACTGTATTTCACAAAGAAAGACGCAGTAGGCTTACTAGTAATAGAGAGGTAGTCATGTTAGTCTGATCTTGCTAAAACAAAAGGAAAAACTATGTAGCACTTTAAAGACTAGCAAGATGGTTTAATGGTTTAATTGGCTTTCGTGGGCCAGACCCACTTCCTCAGATCATATTCTGGAAGAGAATTGGCATGACCATATATGCCAAAGGAATACAATGAAAAAAGTAAACAAGTTATTAAAATGACAAATCAGATTTAGTACAGATGGTGGGGTGAGGGAGAGGGAAGGAGGGAATAGCTATTCTGTACTAAATCTGATTTGTCAGTTTAATAACTTGTTCACTTTTTTCATTGTATTCCTTTGGTATATATGGTCATGCCAATTCTCTTCCAGAATATGATCTGAGGAAGTGGGTCTGGCCCACGAAAGCTCATCAGGTATTAAACAACCTTGTTAGTCTTTAAAGTGCTCCATAGTTTTTCCTTTTGTTTTAGGCTTACTAGGTAACCTTTCCTTCCCCCCAAAGGAAACCGAGCACTTGAACACATTTTGGTGGAGTTTGCTTCCTGGCTGGAAAGACCTTGTAATGTAAATAAGGTCTTTATCTTGCAAATGCTAATCCCAGTTGTGCTTGTTACTTTACTTAGGAGTCACTGAGGCATTTTGAAGAACCAAGAAACTACACTAAAAAACAAAGGCCAGGCATCTGCCCTTAATGACTTTCCAAGCCTGTCCCTGTCCCCAAACAAACTGTAAAACCTAATGGCAGTCACTTGTCTGGAACCCCTAGAAATTGGGAATAGACAACTCTCCTAGTCGCAGTGTCACTGCAGCCCCTGAGCTGGGGTTCAGTCAGACACGTCAGGTTACAAATACTTAGATTCCTTTTTAAAAAGACACTTTGGTTACTGGAGTTCTTGTCCAGCCAGAACTTGCCCCTTTCCCCCAGCCCTCTGGGGCTCAAAGGAAATCCTACTCCTTCTCCCTGCTGCCCAGTGCTGCTGGAGACCATCAGACTTTCTGTCTCTCCCACTAGTCCCCCTTCAGGTGAGCTGAAATTGGGGTGGACTGTCCTCTCTACCAGCTGTCTTAGCAAAGCTGCAGCTCTCACTTCCAGTCTCTTCCAGCCTCCCACCAGCCCAGCTGGGGCTGCATGGAATGAAATGCTCCTCTGCTGGTGTAGTAGCGGAGACTTCCCTTGGCTGTCAGGCTGGGATGCTACAGGGGGCCAACCAGGACTGAGCCAGTGTCTTTGCAAGCAGGCTCCCTTGTCCCTAATAGTGCAGAGCCACAGGGCTTGTGCTGAGACTGGTGGAATGGCTGCTCTGTCCCTTTAATAGTGTAGAGTGGCATTCCCATTAAAACGCGATTGGGACTGATTTTGGGGTCCTGGCCTACACTTTGAGAACTGCTGGTCTAGTCCAGGCCTGGGCAAAATAAGGCCCATGGGCCGGATCCAGCCTGCCAAGCCACCAGGTGTGGGTGTGGAGCCCCGGATGGGCTCCCCTCTTTAAAAACTGTGAATCTGGAGGGGAAAGGGGAAAGCTTTAGGAGCTGCTCCCGCCCCCAGCAAAACCCCATTGGCTAGCTTCTGGCCAGAAACTGGCCAATAGGAGCTGCCTGTTTCAATAACAGGCAGCCACAAAGCACAAGAGGCTTCAGAGC